AATGTATCCAAGTCGGAACAATCCGCACAGACAACCTGTATAGGTGCAAAAAACTCACATACACGTAATTATAAGTTGATGAGAATTGGTCAACATCGGCTTAATAAAAAATGGAAGGGGGAACTGCATTACACAATTATCACCTCATACAAGCAATCCACACCAAGAGCACCCTCGATCTGAGCCGCTTTCTCATTGAACTGCACAGGTAACTCATTGGGTGGTATCCGCTCTGCACCCTGTCTCCAAACTAAAATAAGCAATGAAAAAGCTTACGCATACAACTTGACGTCTAATAGGATATCCGCATGGTCATCACAAAAGAGAAAGGAAAACCGATAGCATTTCATATACCAGGAAAACAATAAATCTACGAGTAGTCTTATAGGACTGTTCGAAAATCAATTAGTAGCAGCAGCTGTACTGCATCAATAAGTATCATCCTTTGAATTTATTGAAATAATAAAATAACATGAGAGGCCCTTCCATAAAAGAGGTAAACTAATCATTGGTACACAAGTTTCTAATTATACATGCCACAAAAAGAAAAAAAAAACAAGATATGCAACTCACTGAAGTCGACGAGCTGGTCTCTTGTCTGTATAATCTTCGCATTAGATATGTATGGATCAACTCTTCTTTCACACAGCGATGGGCGAGCATTCACTGGAGAAGCAGGCTTGATTCGCGAAGGTTTCTCTGTATCCTCTGGTCCATTGTAAACCGGAACTCCTTCGCCAATGGGAACAAATTTTGGAAATAACGGCTTCGGCGGTTCCCTTGGCGGAGGGATTGGCGTCCCAACTGCGAAGGAAACTGGTGGATGTGGAACAACGAAGCCAGATCCATTTTGAGCCATTGGTGGGGCTTGACCCAGCAAAGGTTGTCGGAATGATTCTTGTGGAGGACCACCAAAGTTTTGCGGAGGTCTCATATTCGGTTGTACTAATTGCGGTTCCGGGTATACAGGAGGTGCAGTCATCAGCGGAGGTTGCTGCATCGGAGGAGGTCTCGCTTGGCTGCTAGCTCGCTGCTCCTGCAATTCCCGCATTTTCTTCTCCAGCTCTTGCTTCTCCACCAAAAGGCGACGCTGCGCCGCTTCCTTCTCTTGGAGAGCTCTAAGTCTAGCCTTTTCGCGATCCAAAAGCGACCGCAGATGCTCTTGTCGTTTCTGGCGATCTGCCTCTTCTTTGGCTTGTTCTTTCGCTTCTTTCGCTTTTCTTTCCTCTTCAGCTTTACGCGCTGCTTCAAGTAACAGTTTCTTGACATGCGCTTTCTCTTCTTCTAGACGTTTAGCACGTTCTCTCGCCTCTTTTTCACGTTTAGCACGTTCAGCTATTCTCTGCTTTTCTTGTTCCAACTCTAGCTCACGCTGTTTTCTGCGTTCTTCGTCTTTTTTCTTTCTCAACTCCTGAGCTTTCTGTCGCGCTTCAGCTATATTCCTTTGACGTTCTTCATCTTTTGCCCTCTGCATAGCCACAATTCCTTTTCGTTCTTGTTCGCCGATAGGATCATAGATGGGAATGCAGTACTGATCTTTCAGCTGATGGTCTTTCAAAAGTTGCGCGAGAATTTTCCTCATCTCCTTTCCGCCTTCTTTAGGAAGCGAGTCAAGCTCCATGATGGTAAGGGGATGATATTTGTGCTGGAACAACCGCACATAGGGAAACCACAAAAACAAAAGGGATTGCGCTTGAAATAGCTTACCACATAACATAAAATATGCTGCGCAGATCGAACATGAGCTTCAAGTGCAGCAGATCTACGCGGAATCACGACAGCACATAGGCGACAGAAAAAGTCTGGCGGATGAGCACCAGACGCCTCACTGCTGCGTCGTTCTACAAGATCTTGCAAACCGACCACGTTCAACACAAACTCGTGAGCCTTATCCTTTGCATTCCATTGCCATGTTACCTTCTAAATATGACTATCTGACAGATGAGATCAATGGGGAAGCATGCAGTAAAAAAAGCGCACCCTCGAAGGGTCCTGTTGTTTAAACGGTTTCACAGTGTAGGAAGACGTGGTTTCAGAAAATCCAAGCATATCTGAATGTTTTTTAGAACCCTATAAACAGCTGCGGGAGGGGAGGGGAGACTAACTTTGGCACATAAAAA